GAGAGAGGGAGAGAGAAAAAACGGGAAGGGGCTTGGTTATATATTGGGGTGACTGGTGTAGGCGGGTTGGGGATTGCATGGGCTGCATGAGCAGCCACTCAGGGGCCACTCTTGGACATTTATATTTTCTATGCATGAAAGCCTTGTTTGTGCTCCAGTCTCATGACAGGTGACGTGTGAGGTAGGAAGTAAGTGGAAACTAAGGCGAAGAAGGAAGTTATTTATGGGAATGGCGGAAGCCGTTCCAAGGCACTTATCTTACACTTTTCCTCTACCATCCTAAATTCAATGTCAGGGATCTGAACTAAATTTATAAAAGACAAGAGAAAAAAATTGATTTCATTAAGTATAGGACATTCACAAAGCAATGTGATTCAAGGAGGCAGCTGGAATATGGGACCTAAAAAGAATCTCAACAAAGGGGATAAAGTGTAGAGAAAAGGTATAGGCAAGGGAGAAGCTGCTTAAGGGATTCTTGCAAGGGGGAAAGGTGATAGGAAATGGATGGTAAATAGGGCCATTTAACAAGGTTAGTGATGCTCATAAGAGTCCTCTCGGGTGATATGAGTTGTCTTTGAAGTATGCAGTTCTCTTCCTGATACTGGAGAGTGAGACACATTTACAAGTGGAAATTTATGTTACATAGTCTCCATCATCCACAGTTCTGCTTTCTGCAGTTTGAGTTATCTTTTCTTTTCTTCATTAAATTTTGTTGTGGGTTTTTTTGTTTGTTTTGCTTTGTTTTTGGTACCAGGGGTCAAACTCAGAACCTCGTGCTCCCAAGGCAGGCAGTGGAATCACTGAGCTAAATCCCCGGCCCCCTTTATTAAATTTTGAGACAGGGTCTTGCTAAACTGATCATTCTACTTCAGTCTCCCAGAGTGGAGGGATTTTAGGTGTGCCCACCACACCTACCTAGCTATTGTAATTTTAAAAGGGAAATTTTTAAAGGGAAAGGAGAAGTAAAAGATCATTTTGGCTATCTGTTTTTTTCAGCCCAAAATAATCCTTCCATGAAAGAAGCATATTTTGAGGTAGCAAAAGGACAAGCTAGCATGCTTGTTTTTTTCAAATCCAAATAGCTGGAAGAATCTGATTGGCACCATTACAGGTTAAGGGTTAACAGTTAGCCAATGGATCCGCTGCCTGGGAGTCAGGTCCTCACAGGGATGAGGCAGAGACCAGGAACATGATTGAGGCAGACAGGGTTACTTCCTTTAAGGGCCATGGATACAGGCTCTAAAAAACATGTCCTTTACATATACCAAATGTCCATTACACATACTAGATGTTCCATGTCTTTCTCAGTTTGTGAAAATATTGTCATGAACCTACGTGTTCCAAGACTGAGCAAAACAGATGCTTCCTAAGGAGTTCAAATTATTTTGTCTACTACAGAGTTTTACAACCTTCGCTGTGAACATGCCAAAGCACACACTCTCAGGCCTTCTCACACAGATCCCCTCTCATAATCAGGTAGCAATCAGATCTGAGGCTTCATTCTCTTGTTGGAAGCAATGTGGCAAACACCTCTACTGTACTCTGCCATACTTTAACTCATTTTTCCACACTGAATGTCTAATCTCATCTTCTTCAAATTACCTCCCAATATTACTGTTTCTAATGTGTTCACTGTTGGAAGTCAAGAGTTTCCAAGAATGACAACAAAAAGCAATGAATACTGGATTTTCTTAATGTGGGAGGTATTATGAGGCACTGTGGGACAGTCACAGCCTTGGCATCTTATTCTCTAGGGAAGGAAGACCACACATGGATAATTTACATTAGAAGACAGAGTATCAAGTGCCTCAATAATACACTAAGGCAGAAAGAAGTCAGCCTCTCAGAAAGGGTCAGGGCCAGGAAACCTGCAGAAAAACCCTTCTAGGTAATAACTGGGCCAGGTCCTTAAGGGGCAGGGCGGGAGGGCTGCATATTCAGAGTGGGGCTGAGCTCAGGGCCCAGGCAATCTTCAAACCGCAGTGAACTATTACTATTAAGCCCTAGCAGCCCTCCTCAAGGCCCTGCATACTCTACTGCTCTTTCCTGCACTTGCCACTTGCCTCCTCTAACCAGTGTACCTTTGGGAGCTCTCTTCACTGCCCAAACCTCCTCCATAGACATCCAAGATGAGAAGACAGATGTTTTTCCTGCTTCCTTCTATTCCAGTGGTGGTGAACCTCTGACACATGTGCTACAGTGAGCTGTTTCTATCATTGAAAACTCTAAAAGGTTCACCATCACCACTCTATTCCTTTTCCCTAGTATTTTTTCTCCCAAGAAATTTATCACTAATTATTATGCACTAATATGAACATAACAAACATTGGAAAGTCACAAAGTTTTCATAATCTCTGAAAGGTTCAGGTTGACTTATTTCTGCCTGGTAGATGAAAAGTTCTTTGGATTTTTGCTGTTAACTTTTGTTCCTGAGTAGGGTCACCCAACCTCTTCAGTCTTTTAACCTCGTCCTAGGCAGCAAAGTCAGACTGAACCATTCATTCCTTTCAGCCCTTGAACCCACCAAATGGAATGGGTAACAGGTTTAAGAATGTCATTTGCATTTCTATGGCTCCTAAGGCTGGGTGACCTTGATTTTTTTCTCTCTTCACTGGCAATCTGGAACTGGGGCACTGCCACTTGTAAGCAAAGGATACTTTTGCATGAGAAAACTAAATTGGCAAAATGAGTTGGAATTTTGAGGAGAAAGAGCACCATCTTTAGAATCATTTCTGTTATTAAGAGAATGTGATAATTACTACACTATGGAGACTACCCTTGGAATAATTTCAGTTGTATTCAAGGGTCAAAACATTGGGGGTGAAAAAGTAGACCCCTCAGGAAATTCCCTTCCTACTGTTTCATTGTGAAAGGGAGGGCCAGTAGAAGGAGATAATGGTAGGGTGAAAGGTAAGTGGCTTTATAAAAGGCTTTGAAAAAATCTTTGGGGGGTCGGGGATTTAGCTCAGTGATTCCACCACCTGCTTCCCAAGTGCAAGGTCCAGAGTTTGATCCCTGGTACCCCCTCAAAAAAAATCTTTGGTGGAAAGGGTGTAAAACAACTTCAGGAAAATATTATAATCAGTAGAGAAAAATCCTACATGAGAGAATATGGAAGAGATTTAGAAGCACAAGTGCCGATATCTTCATCTTCTCAATCAAGGCTGAAGAAATTTAAGATGTGTGAAAATTGAGACCAAGATTTGGGAAAACTAAGTTGAGGAACCTCATGCTGGGTCCCCTCGATCAAAAATGAGGCAAGATTATTTGAAAAACTGAAGGAAGCCCAAGTGCAGCAAGAACTTGAGGAGAGGAGAAACGAGGCAAATTTGGGAGAAGTATCCTGGATAATGTATCTAGATACTTCTAGATAATCACCCCCTTCATGAGGAAAGGAACTTAGAAATCAGTGAAGACCCAAGCAAGTCTGGATAGCACCAACTTTTAAGGGAAGTGAGTGCTTTCTTAGCCTTAGCTAGCCCATGCTTAGTAAAGTAACAGCAAGTTCAAAAGAAAGTTTTCAACTTAGTATAACAAGAAAAAAATTAATGTTGAATGACAACTTATTTTAGGGAACATCATTCATGAGCGATTTTAGAAATACTTTAATCATTACAAATGTGAAATACACAATATCAAAATACTAATCAAATGCGTACTGAAAAAAACCCACAAAACTAAAAGATTACTTGAACAACAAAAACAAAAAATTAGCTCTTTTTTCATCTTTCTAAGGTAGCCAAAGGCAAGAAAAAGAGGAAATACCCATTTTTTTCTCTTTTAACTAGGTAAATCTTCCATTCATTAAATTTTACTGAAAAATTTAAAAACCAAAACCACTGGTATCTTGATAGTACATTAAATGATTCATAAAAATTTATATTTTACTCTTTATATTCACCTATAAATACATATTCTTTAAAAGCCCAAAGAAATTACAAGTAGCTTATTACCATGATGGCAAGTCATGAGACAGCCAACTTCTTGACCCTTGTAGTCCCTTCCTAATCCTAAAAGTATTTAGGGAGTTCAAGTATGTTCCTGATTTGTTCCACAGCCAAATCCTACAAAGAACTGTAAAACAATTTAAATGGTTTTCTCAAACTACTATCTTAATATTGATTTCAGGTTACCTTTTTTGTAATCTTCAGTCACAGTAATACAAAAACCAACTTAAAATTCAGAACAATAGTTAGACATATGTAGTTCGCATACATTAATCTGCTTCCCTCAACCAAAATAACTGTACATTCCAACATCCTATAAGCTTCTTCACCACAATATGGCCCTTCTAATCAGAGGGGCAGTAACAGTGTTCTTTAACTAAAAGGGTTAGTATAAAAATATCAAAATCGTATTTCCCCTTTTTTCCAGTGAGACCATCAGAATCTATGAAGGCCGGACTCTGGCACCTATATCCTTTTGATCCTGTAACCTCTCAGGGAAAGACCAGGCACCTGTCAAGTTCATAGCGCACAATGCACATACAGGGGTGTCTAATAACTACGTGTCAACGGAGGGAGTTTAAAGGTTTGTTTGGGAAGCAGGGAACACACTTGTTACCTGTTGATCTTTCGGCATTGATCATATAATCCATAAACCTGTTTCCTTACAAAATATCATGCAAAGAAAACCCTTATTGAGACTTCGTTGGGAAGGACAATGGGTTGAAGACTCAAAAATCTGAAGCAAGATCTGCCTCAGAGAAAGAGTAGTGACAATAAGCATAAGCAGAATTCAAGTGACCAAGTGACGTCAGGAGGGGGCAGCGATTCAAAGGATGGGCGAGAACTCACCTGAAGTAGCAGAAGCTGCATCGATGTCAAAGGTCAAAGGTCAAAACCTCACAGGCTCCCCGGAGGGACACGGGAAAACTGAAACGCCCACCCTGTGGCTCTTACAGTCAAGGATAAATCTAGGGGTTCAACTCTTCCAGCCTTTGACGCCAAGGGACAAATCCTATCAGGCGGAGAGTCAGGTTAACAGTAAGGTAAACAAACCTGCTCCAAATTTCAGAGCCAGCGCCCTGGAATCCCTTAGTACTTCTTGCTTCCATCTCTTTCCGCGCTGGAGGCCGAAGACACCTTCATCTTCATTCCCCTCCTTCCACAGGCCCTCTTGCTTTTAACAGCATCGGTCTCTATGGCGACCTGAAACCGCAGTTCCCATTGGCCCGTTCAATATGAGGGCCGGGCCAATGGGAAGGGCCAGCCTTCTCGGTGCGACCAATG